AATTTCAAGTAGAGAATATGTTTATGCATTCTCATGAATTTACAAGGTATGGTTTATTTGGATATTTTCTCTCCTCTTAAAGAAATTTTAGTCCTATATTTTGACAGTTGACAAGCATATCAACATTTCTCTGAAATCTCTTATTACTTTGAACTAGAACTAAGCACATCCCATGCATAATTCTGTTAAATTTCTCCTTATGGAAACATTCCAAATAAATGTGGCCACTTGAAAGGTGCTAACAATTAAAACAATACACTCATTTCAAGATTTTATTTTACCCTAAAACAACATGGCTACATAACCGTGACCTGCAAATTTAAAGCTTGTTCAGATACATCTGAGACCCAGATAAACTATGAATATTGGCCCACGAGATTATTAGGATGACTTAGCTACCTTATAGTATTATGCAGTGGGCAAACTTCAGCCAGGAATACCTTTTCGAACTCATAGCAAGAAATTGAGCCAAATCCCAGACTGTGGTCCTCACTGTAGTTCTAAATTTCTGCTTAGAGGGCTGGGGATTTAGCTCAGTGGTTTCACTGCCTGCTGTGCAAGCGCAAGGACCCGAGTTCGATCCCCGGTACCCAAAACAAAAAACAAAAACAAGTCAAAATTTCTTAGAATATGTCATGTTCCTCTTGAAGTGAATTAAATATGGGGTTGGAAACCAGTGTTTCACAGGTAATTCTTGCCCTTTCAAAGTTCTGATGTCACAGACTAATCAGGAGAAAATTATTCATGAACTATATAGCCCAAGAACAACTGTTCAGAAGAACAGCCAAAAGTGGAAGTAAGGCAAACTTATCCAGAAGCCAGTCATGATGGCATGCCTGTAATCTCAGAACTCTGAGAGGCTGAGACAGGAGAATCTTGAATTCAAGCACAGCCACAGAAACTTAAGTGATTTAGTGAGATAATGTCTCAAAATAAAAAGGGCTAGGGATGTAGCTAATACAAAGGCCTTGGGTTGGATCCCCACACTACAATTTTTTTAAAAAATCTGCCCTTTCCTTCAATCTGTCTCTCCACCTTTTCACTTACCTACAGTTTAACCAGTATGTATCACACCCTTTCCTCAGTAATATCCAACTTGCCTATCCCCTTCACTGGTCCTCACTGAAGATTAGTACTTCAACTCAGTGGGTCCAAAACAAGCCTGAGAAGTAGCAGAAGCCAAGTTCACTAGCTGTTTAACTCTGCACATTAGACTTTGAAAGCACAAACCAAGTTACGTCTTTACATTGGACCCTACACTCAGGTGTGGTGAATTTTCTGGCCCAGGGACTCTGGCTTTCCAACTCCTTGTTACTGCCCACTTGAGTTGAAAGCAATAAAGATCTCCATTCCCACTGGCCTCTGCTGGCTAAATATGTGAGGCAGGCCCGTGGAACTGTTAATGACATGGATGCCCTTGTTCCCAACCTTGTTTTCCCCCTGGCACACCAGGGCATGCTAGTCTCCAGAGAGAAAGGGGGACCTATCTCCTCTCTTGAGCCTAAGCCATCTTCATTATTATAATTTACCAGATGCCCTACATTTGGGGGATCTACTGGATATTTGCCCAGCCCAAAATAAAAACACTTCAGTCTTCATTTGCTATCAATCCCTGTATAAAGTCTCCATCAGCCACATTGTTGGAGAATGAGTTGCATCAAATCTATCTTAAACCCCTTATATTTTTGATGCTCTTACTCAGATCCAATGTGACAATGAGGGATCACCAAGCTCAGCCTATGATGGCGGCTGATTTGAACAGCCACATGAATCTAGGCAACTGGCCTTGGCAATGGCGCAGGTCACAGCAGCTTTTACCGTGTTGACTAGAACAAAACAGTCTTGGCTGGATTCCTCAGATGTCAAACAATAACTGAGATGAGAAAAAACAATCCATTCTAGAAATGAGGTGCAGCTTTTCTTTGGACCAAATAATGAGCAAGCAGAACTCTGGCCTTGGGCAAAGATAGATGAGAGAGACATTCCCAATGGCTTTTGATGTACAAAGTACTTCTGCTTCTCAAGGACTTTGCAGCCCAGATAGGGCAGGGAGGGCAAGGCGCTTGCTAGAGCCAGGAAAAGAGCTCCTTAAAGCAGGCCATTCTGCAAGCAGCAATAGGGAGTCACTATGGCTGGAATGTGCAGGCCTCCAGCATGGTAGCTCTAAGGCATAGGCACAGTTCCCTTGTGCTCCTAGGCCTCACCAAGGGATGAGTAACCAAAGCTGCAAGCAGAGAGTAGAAGAGAACGATTAGAGTGCTAAGAATCACAGAATCCTGTATTTTTTGTGTCAGCAATGGGCACAGCTACTTGCCCAAGTCAAAAGCCTGGCAATTCTGGGGTCCCCATCACAACTCACATCCAAGTTTACCCCCTCCACAGCTCAGTTACTGCTTCATTTCAGGTAATCCTCTCTCATCTAGAAAAATGCAAGTATCATACTAACTGGTCTTTGCTCTGGTCTGTTAGCAAAGTATCCTCTCTAAAACATTCATCATGGCACTCAGCTTAAAATTCTCTCCATACATTCTACAGCCTTTAATATAAAACAATACCAGATACTGGGTTTAAATATTTTTAAAACCTCCACAGATAACTCCCAACAAGTATCTAGTTATGAGAAACACTGGTTAAAATGTATTTTTAAATTGCTCTTCTGTTTAATTGTTAATGTCAGGAAAAATGAATGCTTCTCCATATTTGTGATTTTTTTTTATTATTAAAGTGTTAACGGTTGCTTCTGAAAAAAAAAAAAAAAGAAAACAATACCAGATAGCCTAAATTGCATTTTGCCTTGGACTCCATGTTACTTGACTGGTGATTAGCCTTCAAATGCCATTGTAAACACTTTGCCTAGTTTTCAAGTAGTTTTTTCTCAGATTATTAATCTCCTTCCTCTTTGCTCCCCATCATCCTTTCTCAAGTCTGAGCATGACTCATATCCTTCACCAGGAGAAAAGTTCCTTAACATAGGGACCTCATCTCTCATCTCTGGATTTGTAACAGCTGGCCAGCAACAGCACCAGAAGGGTCTCCAAATACTGGTGACCCCAAAATGAGTAAAACACAGTTCCTGCCCTTGAGAAGCAGAGTCTAGTTAGAAGAGTTACATAAACTATAATACACTGCACATACTAGAACAGATGTATGATCAAAATGTTATGTAAACACCTTTCATCTCTACATTCACCATCTTATACATAGCACTAGTTACACTGCTGAATTTTTGCTTGACTCTCCCTGACACTATGAGCTTAAGATAAAGGCTAGAAAGTTAGAAGGAAAACTCAAGAGTTCTCAGTGCCTTGTACAGAATCTGACACACTGAATTTAGGGGGTAATTAATTATGCCCTTTCTAAGAGATGACCAGGAAGCTAAAAACAGGAAAGTCATCTCCTAGAATGAAAGGGAAAGGTGGTAATCTAAGCAGACATACAGCATATGCAAAAACATCAAGTGGCCAAGCATTCTGGGGAAGGCTTTCTGATAAGTACAGCTGATTTTAGGAAGATATTCAAAGTATATTCAAAGCCCAATAATATTCTGCCACCTTATTCTGTCCTAGGAGACTCACTGAGAAGCAGTAGTTATCCGAGATTCACTACTTATGAAATATGCTGACAGGTTCTGACCTGGCAAGGGCAGCTATAAATTCTTAGATATGGCATAACTCAGAGATGGTCAAAAGAATGACACAAAACAGCACGAAGCTTTTTCAGTTTTCACTCACTACAGACCAGGATGGCTCAAATTCAAGTACAACTAAGGATGAAAACAATGGTTTCCCCTTATCTGGGGAGTGTAATCTGTAAATTTTCTTAGTAGAGTTCAATAAAAGAAGTTTTAGAAAACATGTCTCAGACAGAAAAAAAAAAGGCCAATGATTTAGTAACAGAACTGCATAGTTAACAATGGAATGCTTTACATAACATGACCCATGCTTTTGAGCTAGCAGAATCACAACTTCAGGCTTTCTTCTAAACTAAATCCATTAATGTGCCTAGATGACAAAGAATCAAGTGGAAATGGTTTGTATTTTTATTTTGGTTTGTATTTTTCATTTACAAAAATTTGCTCATGGGGAGGTACACACACACACATACACACGGCAAGCTGACCACTCATGCCCTTTATCATTGTTATACATTTGCCCTATTTCTATAACCTGTAAGCCAGGACTGGACCATTACGGACTCAGAGGAAAGGAACCTGGTCATCACATGCAGGGGACAGACTTGCACTTTCCTCCCCTGCTGTCTACTCTGTGGAAGGCTTTAGAGTGGGCATCATGTACTTGGTTTCTGAGGGTGTTGTGCTGCTCCACTCATAGTAGGGAAGGGAATACATCCTCTAACTAGTTTCATTTAAATAAATTATCTAAAGTCTGGTGTGCATAATTTCTAAAACACAGATGAGCAAGTAATCTGTTCAGTGTTGTTTGAAACTTTTAAAATAAAGGATGCTGACTAGAATTTTCTTTACATTAAGTGGGATGTGTGATTTTGCAGCCCATTATCTTTACACCTAGAAAAGAAGGCAAAAGAGAAGAAATTATAAATGTGGAATTTAGAAATGCCTTATATGGGAAGAAGTGTTAAGAGATAGAAGTGACACAGATGGAAAATCTTAGCAGCAAAAAAGCAGTACAGGATTACAATGAAACTCTAGGGACATGAAACCATTGTAGTGTTTCTGGGTTTGCACAAAATCTACCATGAAGAAGAGCTGACCAAGTTGTAACTCTTTCCTCATAAAAATTCAAATATACCTATATGGGAAACGTTCCATAAAATGTCAAGTTTGCTCATATAATCAGTCAGTAAGCAAAAATTCTTGACAGTAATATTTGCAAAAAAATTTACCCCATGACATTCTTTATACTCTTCCAAATCTAGGAACATATCTATTATAAGAAGGGCTACAATATCAGACTTCATTTACATATTAGTGTTTGCATTTTTAGTAAAAATATTTACAACTAGGACACTGACATTTGCAATGTCTTTTTAAATTCAAATTTATTATGACTCTTAAGGAAATACGTGATTAGGCAGCCAAGCTTCTTCTAAGCTGTGTTAAAAATGTTTTTAGAATTGTTATTTTAAAATTTTATTCCAGTGTATACACTTTAGTTTTCAATACAGAAAGATAATAAGATGACCATTTACAATTTTATGTATTTGGGTAGAGTGAATAGAAAGTAACATTGAATCAAACTCCTAAACTAAAATATCTGGATAATCAAGTAAAATATTTTATGTGTGCCTGTGTACATACGTATATATTATTTTTAGTTACTACATGATGATTCAAAACTGATCTGAAAGTCTAAAAACTGGAGTAGCTGATTATGATCAAATTCAACAATTCCATCATTTCTTTCATAGTAAAAAAAAAGAACCCAGAATTTAAATGTACTAGAACCATACAGCCAGTGTGACCATCTTCCTTTCTTTGGAATAAATCTACTTCCTATCTAAAAGCCAAAAGCTAAGTAAAATCTGGCTACCTCAAGGAGCTATGATGAACACCTACACACACTGTATTATACAGCTGGACCGTGAATGCTTCACCCTGGAGAGGAGAAATTCTGGAGGTCATTTCCAAACTCACTGCAACAGAGAAGACTTTAGAAAGGCCACTTGACAGCCAAGCATGGTGGCACACTCTTACAATCCCAGCTACACGGGAGGCTAATGCAGAAGGAATTCAAGGCTAGCCTGGGCAACTTAGCAAGAGACAGCCTATCTCAAAACAGGCTGAGGATATATGAAGCTCAATGTGAAGGACTTGTGTCCAATCTCCAGTTTAAAAAAAAAGAAGGAAAGAAAGAAAAGGGGGGGGGAAAGAAAAGCAAAGCAAGAAATAAAGCTACTTGATAACAGAGCCAGTCGTATGCCTCATGCTGTAAAAGTTGCTGTTGTCCACCACAAATCTAAAAGCAAAAGAAAATTAGAAAAGGATTTTCCAAGAAACATTTTAAGACACATCTAAAACCTAAAGTTTGATTGTAATCTTTGATGAAAAGATTGTCACTCAAACATTTATTTTATATTCTTGCTTCTATGGAAAGATTTAAGAAGACTGATTATAGTTTCTGTCCAACCTAGGCCCTCACTGCCTGGTGCTGAGGGCCTCTTCAGAAGGTGTAATTATTTCAGTTCTGTGGTTGAGAACCCATCGTGATTTGTTTCTCTCTGGATGTACTTTTTGCTTTCCCAGAACATGTGACATTTCCTCTGGTCTTCACAACAGTCCTTTGAGAAGGGCAGGACAAGCAAACCCTCCCCATTTCTATGGGTGAGGAGAAAAAGCCCGTGACTCAGGAAGTGTCTCACTATTAGTAAAGCTATGATACTAGAACTAAATGCTGTCATGAGAGAGGATGACATAAGAGGAAAAGGATGCTACCTACTATCATATATGCTCAGGAAAAATAAAATAATACATTTTCCCAGGGAAAATGTATGTAATATTTATGTGATATTCAAGATGTTAAATGTTAGAAATGAAACACATCACTAGTTTTCCTACATGGCATATAAATAAATGTAAATAATTACACTATTCAAACTAAAACTCCATGAGTGAGGCTTTTTACTTAATTCCTCCTTATGAAGACTGCTTTAAATCTAGTAAGAGTGATTCATCATCCTCTACTTTCACCTGAGGTTTAAAAGTTACTTTTAAAGGCTCAGGGGTTGAGATCTCCCCTCCTTCTTGGGAAGCACACGCCGCCTTGGCTTCCTCCTGTTCTGTTTCACTGAGCTCATCAGAGTGAAGCTCGGGGATGGGGACCAGAGATGGACTCCGGGCAATGATATCCATGCCCATCTCTCTGCCTGCATCCTGACCTTCGGCCACAGTTGGGTCCTTGGCCTTCCTAAGGCTGGGCATCTTAAAAGCTTCCCTTGAGGGAGCAGCATTAGAAATAGATTTCTTAAATCTTTCCCCTGACTGCCGCAGCCTCTCCCCTGACTGCCGAAGTCTCTCTCCTGACTGTCTCAACCTCTCTCTCCTCTCAGGTGTCACTATTCTCGTTCTAATTCTGTTTACTTTCTTGTCTAAGTTCTGCCTTGTCTTCTGCATGTTTTCTTTGGAAAATGCCTTTTTGATGTGATCAATGCGCTCTTTGCCTGACTTTCTAAACCTGGCAGATCTGCTTTCTTCGACATAATATTCCTCGTCTGAAGAGAGCTCTATTGGAGGATCAAAGGCTTCATCAAAGGCTTCATCTTCTTCCTCCTGATTCTGGGTGAGGTTTCTGTCTTTGACAATAGACAGGGATGTTGGACACTGAATCTCCTCCTAAAGAAAAGAAAAGCATAGTAGGTGAGTGCTTTCTTTGCAGTGTAGAACAGCTCTTTGACCTGCTGGCCACATCCTGCAAACTTCCTCCACAAGCTGTTTATCCTCTACCTGCTCCTTAAATGTTGGCATTTCCCAGGGCCAATGAGAAAGAATTCTCGTTGACCCTCAAGAACACTTTAGTACACCTCTCTACTTCTCCTAACATGAAGATACATACAAATGATGGGCAGATTTCTCCACCTGGATGTAACACACCTCAAACTTACGAAGTCCAAACACCATGGCCCATCCATCACCCTCTCCACTTTTACTTCTTCTCCTGTACCTCTCAGCACTAATAACCATCCAGGTGCTACACGATAGAAACCTCAAAACCATCATCCCCAGTATTTTTTCTCCCTCTCATCGTACATTCAACTGGTCACCAAGCCCTGTTGATAATAACTGCTTAATAACTCACATGTTCCCTCCTCTCCTTCTACCAATGTCTTAATTCAGGTTCTTGTCATCTCATTCCTGAACTGTGTAATAACTTATTTCCTGGTCCCTCTACTACAGAACATCACACGTATTACCTGAGAAACTTTACTGAGGCACACCCCCGATTATTCTCTTTAGAACTTTTCAGAGATTCCTCCATACTTACAGGAAAGAATTCAAATTCTTAAGTATGCTCAGAGTCTCTTTAGTCAACCTGACTCATTTTCTGTCTTCACTAGCCCAGTAACACATACCACTCTCAATTCCTCAAATATAAAATGTTTCCATTCCCCTGTATATAGTTTCTGGTATCTTCAATGACTCACCTCTTTTCTACTTTATGAATGGTATCTTTCTTCAAGAATCAATTCATATGCCCCAACTTCCCAAGTTAGCTAATGTTATTTCCAATTTATACCAAAAGAACACGTACACACCACTATAAGTTATTACAGTTTGAAATGAATTGGAATTCTACTCACTTATATACATATTCCTGGGCCCTACTGTGGTATCAGGTTCCTCAAAGCAGAGATAGTATGTCTTAATTATGATTTACTCCTAGCATGTATAGTCACTAATAATAAATTACTACTGGATTAAACAAAAAACTTGTGCCTTCAACAAAGAGTTATGAAACTATCACCATATATTACTCAATACTGCAGGAACTGAGAACCCTTATTTTAAAAACAGTGAAAGAAATCATTTGTTTCTTGGACAGAGAGAGACAAATAAATGCGTAAAATATACAGTAGGTTTCACAGCAATGAATGCTAAGGTGGCAAAAGAGGGAAGGGGATATTCAGTGATGGGGGATACTCATTGCTGTTTGGAAATACAGTGGTCAGAGAGGCCTAATAAGGTGACATCTAAGCCCAGACCTGAAGGTTGTACAGGAAGAAGAGACACTGAATAGGGCAGTGTGGCTAAAACAGAGTAACCAAGCGCCAAGAGGAAAAAGAAGTGTGAGAAAGATAGCACATGGGCCATGTTACAAAGGACTCTGTGTCCAATAAAAAGAACAGTGGCTTCTATTCTGAGTATGACAGAAAGACTTTTAAAGATTTTGAGATGATCTGACACATGCTGTATAAGAATGACTCTGTTTAAAACAAGCTACAGAGGCAAGGTAAGATAAGAGCCAACAGGATCTGCTGCAAAGAAGCAGATACCTAAAATGAGGATGAGAGCAGGAGGAAGAGACTGGTAGGGAAAGATAAGATCCCAACATGTCTTTGAAATGCCCACTGGATATGCAGACAATTTCAAAGTCATTAATGTAGAAATGGGATTAAAAGTCATGAGGCCAGTAAAAAATCACCAAGAGATTCAACATTCCTTGAAGATAAGGCATGTTTCAATATTGAAAGTATTTTAGATTTTGTAAAACTAATGTGATGCACTATACACAATACATACATGTGATCCCAGTGAGATCTTGGGAACAAATGCTTCTGCGGTTAAAAAAAAAAAAAATGAATATTTATACTGAGGTGGGATAAAGACTATACATAGCCTCATGCTATTTCAGGTCAGGTTCTACCACCAAATGACTTCAGGTCAAGCTAAGACTTTTTACCAAGTTATCTTAAAGGTTTTGCTTTTTAAAATATGTTGGATGTAAGTGTTACAGATCATGGATTTGGGCCCAGTAGATAAGAAAGAAGAAGGAAGAGATTTTAAAAAGGGTAAGGAAAGAGAAACATCTACCAAAAAGCAGGAAGAAACCCCAGAGAGTGCAGCAGGGCAGAAAGCGGTTTCAAGAAGAGAGGAGGGCCAGGGATTTAGCTCAGTGGTGCCGCCGCCTGCCTTTCAAGCCCAAGGTCCTGAGGTCAATCCCAGGTACCGCAAAAAAAAATTAAGAAGAGAGGAAAGGCCCAACAACTATGCCAAGTGTCAAAAGATTAAGGATGAGGGCCGGGGATTTAGCTCAGTGGTTTCGCTGCCTGCTGTGCAAGCGCAAGGACCCGAGTTCGATCCCTGGTACCAAAAAAAAGATTAAGGATGAGAGCTGGATGGGAGAAAATGAAGGGCACCAGTGTCCTTGAAGCCAGGCCAGACCACAGGTATAAAGAAAGCCAGCTTACTATTCAGAGAATTATTTCTAAAACCAAACAGGTAAAACTGTAAAGATCATGAAGTTTTTTACTGAACTATGAGTTATAATTTCTAAAGGAAATTGTGTTCCTATTTGAGATCCAGATTAAGTCTATTCGATAATGTATAAAAAATACACTTACACACATTCTAAAATTTAATGAGCCAAAAAGGCATCCTTGAATCTTATTTCTTTGGACACCTATTTAAAATTAAATTCTTTGGCTACAGGACTGGAGTGTCTGGAAGCTAAAAAAAAAAGGGCAGAGGTGGGCGTCTCATAACTCTCTGATGAATCAGTTAAGAGGCAGTAAAAGTATTCCTCTCCTTTCCTGACACCTGCTGTAGGGAACAGCTTCAGTAACACAGTGTGGGTTGGTCTGGCTTGAGAAGGTATAATTAGAAAAGGAAGAAGCCCAAGAGCAATTACTGCTTGGTAGGGAAAAAACTCTCACGAGCTTTCTGTGAAGACATCAGATATAGCTTAACTTGGGAACACACACCCTTCTCTTCCACTGCACAACAAATAGTATAAAATCAGACTTAAAAACAGTAAAACAAAGCAGTCAGAAAAAGTACTTGCTATAGAGATCCATTTGTTACAACTCCTATGAGTCAGCAATAAATGAATGGTGAATACACTCTAATAATAACTGAAGATTACAGGATTGAATTAGAGTTGTTTCCTAAATACAATTATATTTGTAAAAGTTCAGGTTAAAAATGTCATTTTTGTAACAGAATTAAAACTATGGGGAAGAGTACTTGACTGAATATCAAAGTAATGTAGCTAGGGGATTTTGGATACACAGAAGTCTGGGACTTATCGTTAGGGCCTTGCCAAAGAGTCCATTTATTAACCAAACACTTATGGTTAATGACCAAAATTATCAGAAGACACAGACAACTTGTGGCTCACATGATGACAGGGAAGGCTCATCAAGGTGAATGTCTGTTCAAAAAGAAACATAATTGGGCATGAAATATTAGATTATTTTTAAATGGCAGCATCCAGGATTTGGTAAAAGTTTTGCCATATACAACTATAGGAGATATACTAATACCAATAAAGATTACAGCCAAATGATATACTCAGGGAAACCTTTCACGAAAAACACAAATGGAAATGAAAATATACTACAGATAAATAGCTCAGTTTCAAGATAACTTTAGAAGAGAAAATCTCCACATAACCATGTATACAAATGAACTGTGATAATTAATTACAACTGATTTTAGGGGCTAAGAATAACCAGTGAATATTGCAGGGAGTGTTCTAGTTCTCTGTCCATTGTCATGTGCCTTTATCTTTCTCCACATGCTTACAAAATGTAACAACTGCTTTTTGACAAATTGCTGCTTACTCTTCACAATATAATTTCACAGAATCATCATGGCTTTACATCTTAAAAGAAAAGAAATCTGTCCTAAACTAGTACTGCTCAGTTTCTTTAACTACCAGGGCTTGAAGAAAGGAAAAACAGGGAAGAAAGAAATAAAGAAAGAAAGAAGCATTTTAATTTCAAAAAAATTGTATCAATAGACAAACAGGACTTTCAGAAGTATTTTTGTGGTTCAAAGGGGTAGGGGTAGCAGGAGGGGAAGGGGAGAGATCAAAGTTACAGGCTGGAATCTGGAAAGAATCTGTATATAGACTGTGTTTAAAACTATAGGAAGAGATGTAGGTAGAGACTAGGCTGGAGCTCATCAGTGGGTTGCAAAGGAAGAGTCACTGAGATCAAAGGAGAGAAGGGTGTGCTTCCAGAAGAAGCACATACAACTATGTATAGTACATAGTACTCAACAGTGTGATAAATGACTGTTACTGTTTTAGGTACTTATCATAATATGCTGTGCTTTTCATCCTTTAGAGCACAGTCCTACTTATACAAAAGAATTTACTGTAAAACAGTGTGCTGCTATGCCAATGGTAGCCTCATGTATCTTGTGTTTAAGTGCGTATTTGGATAATATCAAGGGGCCATCACAGATGATTGATGTATACCTTCTCAGTTTGCACTTAGAAGTTGGCAATCTGTGTGGTTCTTTGCAATACACATGGATGAAATTGCCTAATAAAATATTTCTCACATTATATTTCCATCACGTGTCATATGACTGTATTAAAATTGAAATTTAAAAAAATTTGACCTATGTGGAGTCTACTAGCTAATTAGAGGTTTTTTTCAGACCACTATTTGTTCAATATTAGTTTTGAAAATCTTTCTAAAACAAATCACATCCTTTGATGTCTTATTAATGCATGAGATTTTTTTAAAATTATACGGAAAAATGTTTAAGTACTTTTCAGTTTTACTTTGGTTGAGTCCTATTATATTTGAATATTATTATAGCTTTTTTTCCCCTTGCATTGCTTTTCTTTGAATAATTTTAATTTTTGTATATTTGTGTGTTTAGTGAATGATAATAAAGTTATACATTTAATTTTAAAAGTTAAAAAAAGTATTTTTGTGATAGCTTTTGTAAATCTTGACTGGCACCTGGTCCATTGCCTTACACAAAGATCCTCAAGAGCTGTGTTGGATACTACCATGTTCCTGGCACACAGTATGTAAACGGAGGGTGAGAAACACTCGCTATTGCTAGTGGCCTTCAAAATGAATCAAAGAATCAATACTATATTCTCCAATACCAAATTAGATCCCCACTACAGACACTAACACTGGAACTGGTCTCTGAAAGTATGGTGACATTTTTAAGCCAGAGACCTGGAAGGAAAGGGAAATGGTAAAGGACTTCTAATGGCATAGTCCACTCTGTCTACCTTTGAAATAAGCACCTCTACTCTCTCCTAAACAACTGCAATTTCTTTAAAACAGATCCAAAATACCACTTTACCATCCCAATATAACTCTGTCAGTCAACAAAGACTATGGAGAATTGACTAATGAGTAAGGAACACTGTGGGGTTTATGAGTCACATTCTTAGGAGTGTTTATAAATATTTGCCTACATAATCCAATTGTGTTCCTATGTCATTTTTATTTTTCTAGGGTTTTCCCCTATGCACACAGGCATCTATTTTTAAAATATAGTTGTGGTTAATACTTTAGATTTGCACCAGTGAACATCCTTGTATATATTCCTGATCTTATTTTTAGAACAAATTCTTTGATACAAAATTTTAGGGTAAGATTTGTGAACTTTTAAGTTTTATAACCCACCAAAACTACTCTTCAAAACGCATTAATATTTCTTCCAGCAAAACATGGAAATGCTTGCTTTCTCCTACCTTTAAGTATACATGTGACTTCACATTTTGTTTTGCTTTGGGTTTTTTGTGATGGGAGAAGAGTTCAATTTTTTCCTTCTAATTTGTAAGCATTTAAAAAATATACTGTAGAGGGCCGGGGATTTAGCTCAGTGGTTTCACTGCCTGCTGCACAAGCGCAAGGACCCAAGTTTGATCCCCAGTACCAAAAAAAAAAAAAATATGAGCACAGTGTTATAGGAAATTAGCTCAATACACAATGCTACATAAAAATTACTTTATTAAATCAGCTAAGTAAAAAGAATCGGCAATCAAATAAAGAACTATTTATGCAACTTCTGTATCTGCATTACTATAATATTACAACAATATTTTTAAAATTTCCTGATTGCTCTTTAAAGAAATAGCTGTTATTATTGTGACTGAAAAGTAAAAACTACAATAAACAAATAATATTCTTAAAAGTTTATATTTTACTGGTTGGACTTTTCAGGCTTTCCACAGTAAGTGTAAACATTCTTATAAGTGTACTAGTTGCCAGTTTCTTCTTTTTTGCAGTTCTGGGGACTGAATCCAGGGCCTCAAGACATACTAGGGAAGCACCCCTTCTAATTTCTCCTTTTATGGAAACAAGGGGTGTTTTAAACTAGAGATTTCTTAGGTCTCTTCTAGTGCTAACATTCTCAAAGTCTACAAGAAGACATCATGCTTACTACTAAGGCTAATATGGTAAAAGAGCCTTAGCAAAAAAAAAAAAAAAAAAAAGAGCCTTACCAATATTAAATTTCAAAGGCAAGAAATAGCCTTAGCTACTAGCCATAGTTCATATTACATGAAATGGTTGAGAAGTTGAAAATACTGATATGGTAGATAGCACATTAGTTAACATACAAATGGTTTTATTGTTAGGTCTCTGCTAACCCAGTACTCCACTACATTAACATATACAATGGCTAAGATGCAACACAGTAAACCTCTGCTATGACATGCTGGCAGTTAAAGGATCCAAAAGATTATAGTAACCAAGCTGAACATTAGTGCAAGCTTACCTGGAATATTACAACACGGAATTTGTTTTTCTTCATAATTTCCTCTTGCTTGGTTTCAACTTTTGTCACATGAGCTTGTTGTTTCTCCACTCGGGCCTTCACATCTCTGATGTGAGCACTGACTTTTCGGGTTTTCTCAAACAATTTGTTAATGACATAGCTTGTATTGCTGTGTGATTGTGAAAGCTTCAACAGGTCAATCTGGAAAGATTTTACGGTGTTTTCCATTTCCCTATGTCTCTCTTCTATTCTCTTCTGGCTTGCTTGCACACTGTCCATGATGGTGGCGACTTTGTCCAGCACAGTCACAATGGTAAGAGCAGCATCTTGGTCTTCATCTTCAGAAACACTTGACAGACGATTTTGGTGGATTTTATCAGCATTTGAAGCAGACCCGTTATGTTCCATTTTCTCAGTGGAAGATATCCTACTGCAATCAATTCTGGTACTTGAAGCAAAAAACCAGCTTGATAACAGGCAACAGAACTGCTTAAAGGGTTGGAAACCCCACCCCTGGAGAACAGTCAAATATTTATAACTACAAATACCCATACGTGACTGTTCTGCAATACGAGCCCTTGCAAAGCACTGGGGACGGTTCCAAACATACTTGCTGACTGACTAAGGGACTCAAGTAAGACTGTGTGGGTAGCAGATGAAAGCTTTGTAAAAAAGTTCACTGAAGCTGCTGTGTTACTAATATTAAGCCTAGGAGCCAGGTGACAAAAAGGCAAAACCCAAATACTGGGTGAAGCTTTTGTCTTTAATAATTTCAAGCAGTATTTGTAAAAGCAAAGGGGAATTTTGAACTGAAATCTGCTTCTGCTTTTTCAGTTGAATTCATCTATTATAAATACTGATACAACAATATTAAAGAACAGAGTAAATAATCACACCAAAACAGGCCATATAGTGAAAACATTATATTATAACATGCTTTTCCAAACCGAATATTAAAATTAATATTTAATTTTGAACATATTTTGTAAATTCTACATGCATATTTTTGACTATCTAAACTACACATTAAACAGCTCGATACATTCTACTCGTACTTCAGACCTTTAAACACCAACAATCTATTAATATAGCTATTACTACAAGACAAATTTGGATAGAGGTCATAGGTCATTTTTAAGCTCACTTTAAGAGCACCAACCAGTAACAATTTTTGCATTGTATTCACAAACACTGATACAATTTGTTTATTTATGTTAAAACAAATATTTTGTTTAAAAATGAATGTGTATTAAAGTAGTTTAACTGACAGAAGGCTTTATTCCAATCCATTTGTTAAAAAGCCTATTTTGACAATATCTAATCTACTTCTCAGTGATCTGTTCCATCATTACTACCAGATTCTTTTTCAAATTATCAGAATTATTTTTTCAAAGAGAAGAATAATGAAATTCCAGTCCACACATCTTATAAATATTTTACATCTAACACACATAGCTTTATAGTTCATGCGGTAGGCAGTGTCTAAAAAAATCAGATACTAAATCTCAAAAACATTTAAATATCTATTTAAACACAGTGTCTTCTAGATTTTTTTGTAAGAAAAGTAATCTGTAAACATCTTTACCTTTAGTTCATGCTTGGTCATTTGCTGTGGTCATTGTGGAAGAAGTGAGTATGACTTTATAACCATTTGTGAAGTGGGTCCATCTTTGCAAAAATATTACATTCCATGGGTAAAGAACAAATCTTAGAATTACCATGTGGTACAAATTTGTCAAATTAATTTCTGTATTTAAAAACAAAACAAAGACTACTGAACAGTCCAAAACTGTTGTAGTTGAATATTCTAAATACGAGCCAACAGTACTACACTAAAAATGTCCAAAAATAAGGCCTCTGAAATAAATATTTTCATTCTTTAAAAAAAGACATAATAAATGTACATCACGTGGTCAGTGTACATATAAAAGTCATCAGCTTAAACCATTCTAGATGATGTATCTGAAGTAAAATGACCTAGGTTTTGCTTCTGTCGACGTCCTCTATTGTTTTTGGGGCATTTTCTGTTGTGTTAAAAAAAAAAAAAAAAGAAAAGAAAAAGATTTTGTTATGAATATTTCAAATGAATGCACATTTCACACATAAAGTCATATGGAATGCAATTATATGAAGCTATTTGGTGCAAAACAAGGTGAAGGCAAACACAAAATACCTTCCCCACAAAGCTGGGTGTTGGGAAGATCAGACACACATACAATTAAATAAAGACCCACCAGAGCAAAGCTCATTCTCAGTCTGTACCTACTGCATCTGCATCCCTGATAGGGACACCTGCCCCTCCTCTGACTTGGCCACACCCTAGCCACAGTGACTACTAACATATCAAACAGGTGACAATAGAAAGATCCTTGACCTACTTACTTTCCCTGGGCAGTATGACACTCCCCAACTGACGAGAAAATCTTAAATGAAGGAAAAACTCAGGTAGGAAAATACATGTTAGCCTCAGATATGAACAGGTAGGAATGTCTACTGATTTTAAACAATCACTCAAAGAGCTGTTTCATACCCTACCAGAATACACCACTGAAAACTACAAAGAACTGGGACCCTGAGGACAAGAGATAATTCTTGATTCTGCTCTCAATTTACCATAAATGTTTCTCCATGGAAAGAATCTCATCGTGATGTGAGCACTCTTCTGCCTGTTGCCTAGAATGCAAACAGTCCTTGCTGTGCACGAGATGCTGTGTTAGGCAAAGTACTATAAAGGGGCTAAGGCAAATTCCGGTAATTCTGAGTTTGGGCTCTGCTGATGTGTGCAACCTCAATTTTCCTATATGTGAAATATTATGAGATGAACTAATCTTATTATTAAGGAATTTATAACCTAATGGATAGAAAGTTGTATAATAGTGAGTGTTCCTACTCTGATGGCCCTTGTTTTTATTTGGTATCAAAGAATATTGCTTTGCTTTGACTTAAAACTTGATGATAGGGCCGGGGATTTAGCTCAGTGGTTTTGCCACCTGCTGTGCAAGTGCAAGGACCCAAGTTCAATCCCCGGTACCAAAAAAAAAAAAAGAATAAAACTTGATGATAATACTTCTATTTTGTGTATAGTTTTCTGAAGACGCTCACTAATCTGCATAAAAATACTTTGAGGTAGACAGAGCTGGAATCATCTCCATTCATGAGACTGGTTGCAAGGTCAAGCACTCTGTTTAACCATCACTAACTCACGATGAGCTTGGAAAAGTTCCAGCTTCCTCAGACCATTGTTCTTTCACCTATAAAGTAAGAGGGTTTGGCTAAGATGCTATTCAAAGTCCTTACCAATCTGTCATTCTTAAGTCTAAAATACGAGAAGATTTCACACATGAAAGAAAAAATGTGACTCATGCAGTCTTGATAAGCAGGTCAGTGAAAAGATCCTTTTAAAGGAAGATTCCTCATAAGCAACAGCCACCACGGGATACATGAACAGCTGTCCCATAATGGACTGTGTGGGAGAGGCATTCCTTAAATATTCAGTGGAGATAAGTCCAAGTACCTAATTATAATATTCCAAATTCAATAGAGCAAGAGGTGGGAGAGATACCAAAGAAAAAAGCAGGGCTTAAGGAGAAATCCTTGATAAATACAATAAGGGAAACCCTTTGGTTGTGGAAGAGAGTGGGCAATGAAAATACTATGTCACTGTGTTGTCCAAGTGTCTGTGAAGGCACCAATGGAGGTGGAGAATAAACTCAAGGGTACTGACTTAATATCTGCCATGTAATTTTAATTTAAAATGGATAATACACCCCAGTGAGAACAAAAGCAGTGAGTAGGGTAAAAGGCTGGGTTGGGGGTTTTAAAAAGGTTTAACTAGGACTGAGGCAAGGTTTCAGTTTTCTCAATTCCCTAAAGGAAGAGGGTGAACTCAAAGGTGCTTCTCAGTGCCTCTAACAGCCTTTGATTCTAAGATGATAATACCCTTGGCCTCAAAAATTTTTCCTTTCATTTATATATTTCTTTAGTTTCACCTTCCAAATCATTCATTACTCTTGTATTATTCTAATAATGTTCCAAATAGTCTTTCCCTATCACATGTTTTCACTACTCCAGTAAATTTTGCACACAACCCTTTGAATAATGCTCTAGAAAAAATGGTTTGTACCAATCCCTCCCCTGCTCAAAAGCCTCAAACTCCTACCTTAAAATCAATTTTGAACCTCCTCCCATGTAACAGTCATGTGTGGTAAACCTGTTTCCCATCATTACCAAACATGGACCTTCCTCTCTTGACGGTTCATTCAGAAGAGGAATGATTCAGGAATCAGATAGCACTCAATCCTAATTCAGGGATATCTTACTAGTTATTGTACGATCACAGGCAAACTACTTAATCTCCAAGCCTATATGAAATGGCCACAGCCACCTTTGCTATTGAACGGAGTTTTTTCTATTTTCTCTTTCTGTTGTCATTATGTCCCTTGTTTGATCTATTGACCAATCCTATACCAGTAGTCTTGCCTAAGGCCACATCATCTGCTCTCTGGTATAAAGCACACTGACTTTTGTGCCTGAAATTAACAAAAAATATTTTTTACTCAAAGAGTATCTTTTATCATTCTACATTTATCAATTCAGCTCCAGATAGCTGAGTCTACTGAAGGTCTGGCTTCTATCCAGACCTTGGATAGAAGGGCCATAAATTCAATGTGGCTTGTCAGTATCTTGCTCCAATCTTCTGCACAGGAAAATGCAGGAAAGTACAGATAATGTTTATGGACTATGTGAACAAAACCTTAATAGATACAGAAGGAAGGGTCATGGGTTTTGCTCAGTAGCACAGCGCCTGCCTGGCAAGTGCAAGGTCCAGAGTTTGATCCCCAGTACAAAAAAAAGATACAGAAAGAGGTGAGCAAGAAGAAAAGATAGGACTGGCTGAGAAGCACAAGGACATTTGTTCTGACATTTCTCAAGTCCAATTTAGTCTGACTCAGTTTGGAAAACAGCCAAATAAGTCCCTTTATGTGCTCCAAATGAGTCTTTTATGATAAATGATTTTTATTTATGATATATAATTTTAAAATCTATTATTTGTCACTGTAATCTAGACTATGAAGTAAAGTTAAGACAATGATGTAATATGAAAAATAGTTATCTTTCACCTCTGGATTTCTTCCTTTATTATATTTACCACAGAAAAATATATTCTTAGGGCATAATGCAGGGATCAAACTGAAGCTAGAGGGCTGAAAACATTCTTATATGGCTTTTCTGTACATGTGTAGATCATCTAAAATCTCTGCTACTACCATTATTGTTCCTGAACACAGTGCTTGTGATACACAATACTAAGATCCATAAATTCCTTTAGTTCCTTGACTGTTGTCTTGCACCCTTTGCCTGTAACTCAGATATCCTTAGCCCTGGGAATGAGTGCTACCCATATTCTAACAAGGTCAGACAAAGAGAGATCAGATCTAAATAGAAATCGCAAGGAAGTGACTCTAGGATTTTTCCTAATAGGCTGGTGAATTTAAAACCTCTACCATTTTGAGTGTGCTCCAAAGTTTGTTTCTAATTTAACTGCTACTCACCCCTAGTTTAAGTTCACATGTCTTATATCATTGCTTACCTCGTTATGCACATGACAATTGCTACTATAATGGCAATCTGCACAGCTCCAATAATGGCTGCAATAAGAACATGAGTGAGTTTCTGCCTACTTGGCACTACGTAGAGAATACTAAAGTCTGTCTTTTCACAGTGCTGTCCAGTGTAACCAGATTCACATCTGAAAAAGAAAAACAAAGGAATTTCTATGAGGATTACAAATTTTTACATGTCAGGTTTCTAAGGTGTAAGATACGAAAGAATGAAAAAATTTAAACAGGAACAAAAACAAATCACTTTTCTAGCACCTGAAAAAAAATGCCTTCTGGGTATTTCCCTAGCCTTTTTGATGCATATTTTACATAGTGCTTCTTTTAACTATGTTAAAACACATAAATTTTAAAGTTGCTAAATAAATCTTTATCACCATCATTTAAAAATAGAACCATAACATTCTATCCAGTAACTATAATATGGCTAGCTTATCTGTTCCCCATTCTAGGTTCTTATCAGTAGTTTTCTATTTTCACAATATAAACTAGGTATGATAATAAACATCTTTAAATGTGCACTTTTCCATAGTGTTATTTTGTAGGCTTAGATACCTGGAAATGGGACTACTGAATAAAAAATAAGTGTAAACACTTACTGTTCTATAAACACACCATCAAATTATATTCATGACACTTTCGGTGTACAAAGCACAAACATTTACGATGCAGGGAGGAGATGAAAATAAGTTATAAATAACAAACAGCAAAGTAGTCAAGTAGGTGCTAACCTTAGAAATTATCTGAATCTCAATTAAAAGTAAATATACAGGCAACATCATCAGCTGAGGATAATAATTTGACAGAAGGAAACATGTAAGATATTTAACAGAAAATTTATATTTTTAGCTAACTGAAGTGAAATGTATAAATTAGCCAGTCTTCCATTGGAACTGATTAATAAAACACGTTAAGGACAATGTGTGCATTTATCAATGTATCACACCTCATTACAAAAGGATTTGAGGCAGCTTATCATAAAGCACCCATAACAACAGACAGGAAACCTGGACAAAGGGAGATCAGGAAACCCATGGTGATATAAATTTACCTTCCAATCCCTTACAGTGCCTGGACATCTGCCAGGAGGTTTCACTTTGGGCTTTAAAGCTTCCCAACAGACAAGTAGTGAGGCAGATACAGAGGTCAAGGAATGGAACTGAGAGTCTAGGAATAAACCCATACTTCCATGGTCAACTGATTTTGGACAAAGGTGCTAAGACAGTTCAATGAGGAAAGAATAATCTCTTTAACAAATGATGTTGGGTAAACGATACCACTATAAAACAGTGAAGCTGAACCTCCTCACAATATACATAAAATTTGACTCAAAATGGATCGTAGATCTAAATACAAGAACTACAGCTCTCAAACTCTTAGAAAAAACACAGATATAAATCTTCGTGACCTTAGACTGGGCAATAATTTCTTAGGTATGACACCATAAGCAACAATAACTGAAACAAAAGAGATAAACTGGACTAAATCAAAATTAAGATCTTTTGTGCTTATTGAGAAAGTGAAAACCCACAAAATAAAGAAAAACTTATGCAAATTATGTATCTAATAAGGGACCTGTACCAAGAACATGTAAAGAACCAATAATAAAAAGACCATGGGCGGGGGACTTAGCGCAAGGACCCGAGTTCTATCCCTGGTACCAAAAAAAAAAAAAGACCAAAAATATCACCAATTAAGAAATGAGCAAAGAATCTATATAGACGTTTTTCCCAATAAGCACTAAAAAGATACACAAATAACTAATACAAAGTCATTAGTCACTATGGAGTTGAAAATCAAAACCACAATAAGATACCATTTCACAGTTACAGTATGACAGTCAGATGATTACAAATATGAGTGATGGCACTATAGGGAATGTAAAATGGTATAGCTACTTTAGAGAAGTCTGGCATTCTCAGAAAGTTATGCATAGAGTTACCATTTGGCCCAGCAGTTCTCCTAGGAATTTACCCAAGTGTAAAAACCTACATCCACACAAAGGTTTGCCATGATTAATAATGGCCCAAAAAGGAAAACAATTCAAATGTTCATCAACTGATGAGTGTTGTGTATTGTCCACACTATGGAATATTATTCAGCCATAAAAAGGAACAAAGTGCCTTACAAAGTACATGCTACACTATGCATAAACCTTAAAAACACTGCGCAAACTGAAAGAAGTCAGTCACAGAAGACCACATACATTTCATTCATGTGAAATGTCCAGAATAAGTACATCTATTTAAAGACAGAAAATAGGTTAGTGGCTGCGGAGGGCTAGAGTTAATAGGAAGACATGGGAAAAACAGCTAAAGGGTATGGAATTTCTTCTTGAGGTAATGAAAATGTTTTAAAATTGACTGTATTGGCAGTTGCATAACTCTGAATATACTAAAAATAGCTAGCTGGGGGAGGGGGGCAGAAAAGAAGAAAAAGAGGAAAGGAGGGGAGGAGGAAAGGAGGGAAGGACAGAGAGTAAAATGGAGAAAAGACGAAAGGTCTATCAATGGCCAAGAAAACAATCATCCTACAGTAGCTCAGGAGATGCAGAGTGTTTGCCTAGCATGCAGGAGGCTCTGGATTCAATCTTTAGTACTACCACTACACAATAAAAGAACCAAAACAGCAATCTCCATAAAATAAAACCAAACAAGGCATTTCCAAGGAGCAGTTACTACTATTATTAGACTCAAGGGAATTTCCCCTCATTGGTCCTTATTTAAAGAGGGTACCTTCTAACATAGAGTAACATCCTCAATAATACAGCAATAATAAATTTAATAACATAACGAAGTCTCATAGGACATTTAAAATAATGTCCTTCATGGTAGGTTAATGGCCAAAAGTCAAAGCTCAGTAAAATCAAAACAGTTCCACAGAGAGTAATGTCAATGTCTTAGATCTGCAGTTCTCGGACAGTTTGGCTTAATCTAAAGATTAGAATGAGAATATAAAAAAGAATCTTTAGGCCATATATTATTCAAATAATCCTTCCTGGATTTTCTACAACTGACTTGTGGTCATACTCTCCAAATATGTAGAGTATTAAGTTGCTACACCTTCTTCTCTTATTAAAGGTGGGAAGGGGTGTTCAGTACACTACCCTCTACTCTCACCTCAATATTCTCCATAGGTCATCTCCTTTACTACCTGCCCTTGTGTGCTGATTCATTTACTCATCCATTTCACACATTTACTGAGTACCTGTTATATGTCAGGTACTACTGTGGTAAGCATTTGGGATATATCAGCTAAAGATTCCTGTCCTACTGACCCTCTAAGAGGAGGAAGGGGGTCAATGAACATAATAACTACTTATGATAAAGGGTGGTATGTGCTTGTGTGTGTGTAAAAGAGGGGTGTGTGTCTATGAGGGGAAGGGGGGGGATATGTGTGTTAAGGTACACTATGAGTACCATATATTGGCCAGAAAAACAGGACCGTAATTTTTAAATAAGTGGTCAGCATAGGCTTCATTAAGAAGGTGACATGTAGGCCAGTGATTTAGCTCAGTGGTTTTGCTGCCTGCTACACAAGTGTAAGGACCCGAGTTCGATCCCTGGTACCAAAAAAAAAAGAAGGTGGCATGTAGAACATGGCATAGTGCTTGCTTAGCATGTATATGAGGTCTTGGGTTTTCTCCTCACCACCACAAATATATATTTTTTAAAAAGAAAGTGGCATGTAAGTGAAGATATGAAGGAGCAGAGGAGGTCTGCCATGCGGAAAACTGAGAGGAGGGCATACCAAGCAAAGTAAGAGAAAAGCTTCCAAAGATGGGAGCATGGTGTGTCCGAGAACAGCAAGCACGGCTAAAGTGGAGTGGGCAAGACAGAGGGGAGCAAGACAGGTGAAGGAGCCAAACTGTATAGGGCCTTCTGTACTTGGTGATACAAAGGAGCCACTGAACAGCTCTAAAAGAGATTGACATGAGCTGGTTTTTATTTTCCAAGGTTCACTCTGGCTACTGTGTTCAATATGCTTACTGGAGACCATCAAGGAGGTTGCTGCAATAATCCCAAAAAGAAAATGCTGGCATGGACTAGGAAGGAATGATGAGGAGTACGCAAATTCTGGACACATTCTGAAAAAAGAGCTAACAGATTTCCCAGCTAATTGGATATGGGGTATATGAGAGAAGACAGCAATATCTTGGTGTTTTGTCTGAGCACCTAAAAAGCTGGAGCCGGCATCAATTGAGAGGGAAAGGTTGTAGGTGGAGCAGATTTAGGGAAGGGAATCATTCAAGAGATCAGCTTCAGTCCTGTTGAGACTTAAGTGTCCAATATCCACTGGAAATGTAAAGGAGGCAGAGGGATCTGAGTCTCAAATTCAGGAGAGACAGCTGAGATTTATACCAGGAGCCATCGGCAAGTGTCATGTAAAGCCCTATATATGACTAGATAGAATTACTAAGGAAGAGTAGTAGGACTGAACCCTGATGCACTGCAACATAGAGGGGCCAGGAAACCCAGGAGGAGCCAGCTGAGAAGACTAGAATGTCAGCAAGGTAGGAGAACCCAAGAGAGCAATCCCAGAAGTCAAGCAAAGCATGTGCATTGCACAAAAGGGAGGGATAAATTAACGTGTTGATGCATGTCTGTAATTCCAGCACTCTGGGAGGCTGAGACAGGAGAATACTGAGAAATTTAGCAAGACCCTGTCTCAAAATAAAAAAATAAAATGTTGGGGGATGCAGCTCAGTGCCAGCGCCCTGAGTTCAATCCCTAGTACCATATTAACTAATTAATTAAGTGATGAATTGTGCCAACTGCCACTGACTGTTCAAATGTAACTGAGGACTAAGAATTGACCAATGACTTTAGCAATGAGAAAAGTCTCCATGGAATGTTTTCAACAAAAGCTTACTGAATGGGTTTTCAAGAGAGATGGGAAGTGAAGTGAAAACTAGAGGTAGACTACAGACAACTCTTTCAAGAAGCTGTACAGGGCCAGGGATTTAGCTCAGTGGCTCTGACGCCTGCCCTGCAAAGTGCAAGGACCTGAGTTTGATCCCCGGTATCAAAAAAAAAAAAAAAAAATCAAAGAAGCTGTACAAGAGAAAGAAATGACAGTAGCTGATGGGAATGACAATAAGCAGTTCTTTCAAGATGGAAGAAATAATAGTTATATACGTAAAATAAGTTTATATCAAGACATGACATGGAAGAACAGGGAGAGAACCGATGGCTGGTGATAGTGACAGTCTGTGGAAGTTCTCTTCATACTACAGTTTCCTCAGAGAACTTGGGAGTAAAATCATCCATCCTGAGTGAGGACAAGAGAGGAAGTACTGACAATCTGTGGAGAGAGGTGAAGGTACACAGCAGCAGGCCAGGAAAACATGAGAATGCCTGGAAGCATGAAGGGCCCATGACAGCAGTTTCATTCAGCTGTGTGGGCATCAGCAGGCAGGGAGAGAGAAGCTGAGATGAACCAGGATGGTAGTTTTGTCAAGTGAGTATAATGATCTAAGAAAGGGACAGAAGCCTGTGTAAGCAATCAACTATAGTGAATGACCACAACAACATCCAGGGGATGAAGATCAATGAAAAGGTGACAGGATCAATAAAGTAAAGGTCTACTGGAATGGAAGGATTGCTAGGAGGAAAGTAGAGGGGATTGCTAGAGATGAAATTATTTACAAGTATACATCTTCAACTTGTATCTCCCCTGGATTTTTGTTTCTGTTTTGTTTTGTGGTGATGGGGATAGAATCCAGGGGCACATGCACTCTAGGCAAGCACTCTACCACTGAGCTACACTCCTAGCCTTCCCATCAGCTGGTAAACAAAAATAAACTCAACAGCCCACTAGCTGTCATTCGTAGTGGATATCCCACTAGCACCTCAGACCAAGCATGTTAATATATCATTTTCCCCCAAACCTCTTCACTCTTCCCAATGTATTTCTTATTCAATTTGGCCATAGCCAGAAACCTGAGACTCTCATGACTCTTCATCCCACTCCCTTCTACTAATCCCCAACTGGTTACCAATATCTGCAAATTCAACTGTTTATTATATTTCTGTAACTCGTCTACTTATCTCAGCCCTAGGACAACTCTATTACTTAATTTATGTTCTCACTTTTTACTAAGTCTCTCAGTCTTCTAACACATTTTCCACAATTCTATCAGACTGTCTTTCAGATCTGATCACCTCACGTCACTGCTATGTGAAGTTCTGTAGTGGCTTCTCATTGACTTTAAAAACAAAGACCGCATTCCTGGGATAGCACAAATATTTCTGTAAAATCTGACCCCTCCTGTAACAATGTTCCCTTTCAGGTTGAAGTACCTTTTCTGAAGTCCCAAATCATCTTGTATATACCTATGTATAGAAACATTTTTCATGTATTTTATTTATTATTTGTCAGTCCCTTTCATCAGGCTATGTTTCAAAGGCAAGCTCTCTGGATCCCGGTCATATTTATCTGCCAGTGCCAGGTAGAATTTGGTAAAGTTTGCAATAAATAAACAAAACAGTGGTGGGATAATGCTAGAAGATTTTAATCAAATAATAGGACTGTAGCTAAAGGTTCTTTATCACTGGTTGTTTACTGAAGGCATGTGATATTTCAGCCTGATTCTTACAGATACTATAAATACTCAAAAAAGAAAAGGACCAGTTGCTTTTATGGGGGTGGGGGGTACCAGGGATCGAACTCAGGTCCTTGTGCTTGCAAGGCAGGCAGCGGAACCACTGAGCTAAATCCCTGGCCCAACCAGCTGATTTTTAAGAGTTATAAGCAGGTTATAAAAAAAAAAAAGATTCTTTAGTATTTAAGAAACTCCTCTGGTGTGAAGAAGGAAGTTGACAATCATCATGTATCACTCAAATAAATAACTGCTAAGTACCTACTGGGCTAGATCCTATTATCCACTTACTAGTTCATTACTTAAAAACAGAATGATCAAACATTGCATTTTTCATTAATTTTTATAAGATAACAGGAAATATAAAAACAACAATTTTATCAAATTTATTCAATACAAGAATTGACTGGTTGAAATGACAACTCCCTGAGACACTCGGGATAGTCAGTACGGAGTGAAGCTTAGGGTAAACTTAAGTGGTCTGGAAGACTGGTTAGCAGAACAAAGAAACTGATGTAATGGGCTTACAGTCTAACAATAACAATTGTTATTTATTAAATACCAGATAATGTTTACTAAGCATTTTAAATGTACAGTCTCATTTAAACAACACTGAGATAGTTGCTATTACCATTATCATTTTAGAAATGAGGAAAATGAGAATTAGGCAATTTAAGTATCTTCCAAAGGACATATATAGCCAATAATTGGCCAACTCAGTAAACCTGATTCCAAAAGCTTTAACCAGTATACCATTCAATCTTCTTATTGTCAATTAGTAAAATGGCGCATAGTGGCCTCATATCATTATCAGAACATCATCCTCTCTCTCTTTGTTGTTTGTTTATTTGTTTTGTCGTACCAGGGATCAAACTCAGGACCTTGCACTTGGCTAGGCAGGTGTAGTGCCACTGAGTTAAATGCAGATATCTTGAAAAATGCCACATCCTAAGAGGCTAACAGGATTTGAGCTTCTATCAACATACAGGATCTATGCCACAGTAAGACAATTAAGAGGAATCCACTGTATGACATGGTTTTAAACCTGGTCTGTTGTCTTATAAAGGTATTTTTTTAAATGTTTAAGCAAAAAGGGTGGGGGTAGACTAGCTCCTTCAAAGATAATAACTCTTCATCAGGAAAAACCCAAAGGCTTAACAAACATCTATTCAACCATAAACAGTATAGTCTTTTGTTTGGGCTTTTGCTTTGCTTTTTGTTTGCACTACTGGGGAATGAATACAGGGTCTTCACACTAAACTATATCCCAACCCATTTTTTATTTTTTATTTTGAAACATAGTCTTGCTAAGTCACTAAATTGCCTAGGCTGGGAGTGAGCTTGCAATTCTCCTGCCTCAGCCTCCCAGAGTGCTGGCCTTATAGGCATGTGCCAACACACAGACCCATTTTTGAAGCAAGAGTAAAGGGGAAAATGAAAATCAGGAGGATGGAACTAAAGAAGCAGAGGAACCCAAAAGACTGATGTCTAACAATTTCCTTTTTCTTTTGGAAAGATTTACCACCTTCTGGGTTGACAGAACAAAAAGAAAGTATAATATCGCTCCATGTTTCCATGTTTTGACTAAGAGAGGAAAAAGCATTCTGGCTCAGCTCCCAGAAGCAGGAGCCAGAAGAATGACAGCAATTTTCCCTTGGCTATGGAAACATAACCTGGCTAACCAGACCACCTGTGGTAGAGGATGAGCTCCTGGCACCAGCAGCAAGAAGAAAGAGCAGCAAAAAGCACTACGATCATTAGCTTAGGTATCAGGAAATGTGAGATCGACTTTTTTCGCAGCTCTACATATATTTCCTGTTGACCTTGAAGAAGTTATATAACGTTTCCAAAATCAAGGAGCTGAGAATTTATATCCTTTCCATCGCTCAACTCACACCTGGTTCTTCATCCTCCCTTATTTTTAGAAATCTATTTTAGCATATATTTTGAACTACATATTTTCTATTCTTAATACATTTTTCGAGTTGCTCAACCACATTGTGATAGATTGCCTAAAGACAAAAATAGTACTGAAATATGGCATATTTATTTTTTATATTAAAAATATGTAACATTATCATTAAAATGTTAAGCCCATAATCTCAAAACCCCAATAAAACATGTTTTTGCATATTTCTTGCCAGGTTTGGAGGAAGGGTTTTTTTTTTAAATGATGCTAATTTATTTTTCACTTGCCTGTCACAGATAAACACTATATTTGGTAATATTAATCCACATTTTTTCACTACCTTCTATAAAGCAGTGATCACTGATGGAAAAGAAATTCTCACCACTGATCTGGAGGCACTGACTTACCTACAAGAAGCCTTCTGAGTAGAATAGATGAATTCACATTTACCATGGATGCAGAAACCATTGAGGTTTTCAGGGCAAGGCATGTGGTTTCCAATATAAACATCTTCTCTTTGATCACTAGCATCTTAAAAGAACAAAAACCAGGTCACTGAAAAGTGAAAAACAAACTGAAGAATACAAAGGTTCTGAAACAGCGAATAAACTGACGCCTTGTCAACCACCTGGTGGGCAATTCGGAAAGGAAATTTATCAGATGGGGAATGAATAAAATCCAAGGTCCCCTTCAAATTCCTATTATACCATATACACAGCAGAAGACTATTTGGATTCAAAGCATTTAAAAATATTTGCATTATGTGATTACTATGAGCTAGCTTTACATAAATACAATGTGCCAAAGAAAATTACCAAAATTATCTTTGCTAAAGAAATAATGCTAGAGTTGGGCATGGTGCCACATGCCTGTATCCTAGCACTGGGGAGGCTGAAGCAGAAGGATCACCGTGAGTTCAAGGCTGGCCTGGAATAGACAGTGAGTTCGAGGCCATCCTGAACCATATGAGGAGACCCTGTCTCAAAAAACCAAAAAAAATAAATAAATAAAATAAAATAATAATAATAATAATGCTAGGTCTAAAAGAAAATTCTCCTCTGTGACAAAGATATATTGAATGTAGCACTAGCTTTAGAAGAGTGAATTTACTCAAACCCAGGGCCTACAAAACTGAGATCAAAAACACACTAAAATGACAGAGAGCAAGTTATGGGATTTTAAACATTTAGGGTAAAGGTTTATTCTTGAAACGAAAACAATTAAGTACATTGACTTTTTTTTCAAATGAAAATAGGTTTGCTTTTTTTATATATAATTTTTCCTCAGATGTTCACTGGTTTAAAAAACTGCAAACATAAGAGAATAAAGAAATTTAAAATCATCTGAGAGCCCTCCTTCTATCCACACAGAACCACTATAAACATGTTGGTGATCACCTGTTAAGACCTAGGTATAATGATTTAGACCAAACTTAGCTGAAGTGAAGAAAATAGAAGTGTGGTGAGTACTATCATTGTTGGAAAAGGGACAGAAACTCAGGAAGGAAACAGAATGGGGCAGGAAAGACAGAAATGAGGCCCCAGTATTCAAAATCAATTATATCCATCACCCCAACACATACACACACACACACACACACACACACACACAAATTTAGAAATGGATTTTTGTACCTCTTTTTCTCACATATACACCTATATACTAATCCTGTACTCCATGGACCCAGAGTTCTCCAACGGTCTGTTCACATGTAGGAAAATCCTCAGGTTTCCTGCCATTTCTATCTTACAGTTCCAACTTACAGATTCTGTGTCTATCAGCTGTGTGACTGACCATTCTACCCTCAAACCTGAGATTCTATAACTACAAAATCAGGATAATAGGACCTCTATTTCATGCTGTTTTGAAAGGATTACATGAGATATCTAATTTATGTACAATACTGCTAAAATAACCACCTGTCTATATGACAAATCATATAACAGCAAAGGCCTTATCTGTCCAAAATACCAATAAAGATGTTAGCAAAATCTGAAGACAGCTAATAGAAACAAATTAAAAGGGAATGAAATAGGAGCTTCACATACAGGAAAGAGGAAGATCAATGGAGACATGAGAATGTAGGTGGCAAGGTGTGAAAAAATTGAGAACTCAAGATGCAGATTTTTCTGGAAATCAAAATTTACAGATGAATAAAAAATCATTAATGAGTATTAAACACAATAATAAAGCAGAGATTATGTCATGGCTAACAAAGTGATGCCATTTTGCCTCAAAATTTACATATTTACATTTTACTAATTTAACTTATGCCAACAAAGAGAATGAACTACAAGATGGGGAATCCAAGATATAAATTCTCAATTTAAAGAATGTCTTTGCTACTGTATGTGACTTTGGTCAAATCGCTTCCTCTCACTGAGGGAGTAGAATGAGATCAGCACTGTCCAACAGATCTATAAGACATGAGACACATATGTCATTTTTTATTTCCTAGCAGCCAAAAAAGGTAAATTAATTTTACACTTATAGCCAACAAATATCATTTCACCAAAATATCAATATAAAAATTGAGGTACTTTACATTCTTTTTAAAAATAAGTCTCCAAAGTCTGGTATTTTATACTCACAACACATCTTAATTCTAATGAGCAATTACCATATTGGACAGCATAGAATAAATGACTAATTTACTAATCATCTATTAATCATATTCCATATGCCAAATATTCTTCTAGACACTGAAGATATAAAAATAGGGTTTATCCTGACCTCGATGGGCTTACATGGTCTCTTCCAGCTCCCAGACTGTAATTTTGCTGTGGCAAAAAAAGGCTACTAATGGGCTGCTATAACCCTGAACACCCTCCACTGTGGTAGAGCTATCTGGGTTTTAAAACAGTCTCAGAGCTCCCTGAGAATGAGGATTATCTGTTTCTGTTACTGTTTTTGTGTAACTCCTAAACACTATGTACAATACAAGAGGACAAGGACAGCCCTGGAGTCAGACTGCTTGGGTCTGAATCCCAGTTACAACATTCCCTAGCTGTACAACCTAAAGGCAGTTACTTCATCACTCAAGGCACTGTTTCCTCATCTGAGAAAAAGAGATAACAACATCCACTTCTCATAAGGCTGTTTTGATGAAATGAGATAATATATTTAATGTACTAGTATGTTAAGTTTGTACAGAACTTAAAAGAGTGGCTAGCAAAAAGTAAACTTATAAGAAGTATTACCAAGTATTATTCCATGTTCAACAAATGTTACATGAATGAATTCTAATTTTCACTTGCTGATATGTTATACTATAAAAATCTCCAGATTTATGGCCAACTGCCCAGCATGCAGAAGGCCCTGACTTAGATCCCAGCACCACAGAAGAAAGTAAAGTCTTCAGTCTTAAAATCCTTTACTGGGGAAGAAATTATTTAAGAGTTATATCTTGTTTTTCATTGACAAAATTATTATTCAAATAAAGATTTCCATCTTGAATCTCCTCTTAGTGAACTGTACTGCTTTTAAAAGTCCTATTCTGAGGTTTACAACAGAGGCTGAGATTTATCAGATGTTTCATTTATAAATACTTGTAATCAAAGCAGAAGGCCTTCCTCAAACAATCAGCACTGATGAGAAATACTTGTTAAGGTTTAAACAAAAAATGCCATCCTCCAATAACAGTCAAGTCATAAGTGATCAGAAGAAAGTACTCATCATCCTATATCATAGCACATCTCAAAGCATGGTACTTCCATAGTGGAACACAAGATAAGTATATAACTATGGGACTACAGAAAGTGAGGTTATGTATAATTGAAATCCTGTAACATGTACAACAATAGGACCATATATTTCTATAGCCAGGGAGTAATACACTAACCTAAGAAAGTCCTATAAACATCAAGAAATTTCAGTGAGAATGCAGAAAGGGAAGCAGCCCAAGAAGCCAGCTACATGAAAGCAGAAAGAAAAAGTTAACTAAATAACAGAGTTTAAGAAATAAAGTATGGCTCCAACAAACATTTACTGAATGAACTAATGAAAGAATGTGAGATCAAGTTGTAGAAACAGTGATACGGCTTTAAAGAAAAACTAATAAGGCTTTAAAGTCTGTGGCTGACATTGAGTTCAAATTCAGCATTTCACTCAATGCCAACATCATTCATTCTATTAGACTTACATACTATTCTGTGCATAGCCAAAGGCTCTATATTAAGCTGAGTATATAAAGAAAAAAGCATCTTGGTTCCTGTCTTCAGGAATGTTATATTCAATTAGAGACTGAACAAATATACATGAAAAGCTGAACATAAGAGAAGCAGAGCTTACATGGCAGTTTACAAGTGAATACCACCAGATGCTATGGAAGTTCACATTCAGAGAAGTCACTGTAAGATAAAATATGCAGAAAAGGATTTATAGACAGGATAGGATTCAAGTTAGGCATCAAAGCATAAATAGGCATAGATAGAGAAATAGTAGAAAGCATAATGTATGACGCATTCTTGGGAACAAACTGTAGATCAGCCTTCCAAATGCAGTAAGTGGAGAATGAGGAAGGGTGTAAGTCAAAGGTGGAAAAGCAGGCTAAAGCCAGATTATGGGAAAATTCGAATTTCAAATGAGACATATTTTCTTACCCATGCAGATAAGGAAGACACTAGAGGCCTTCTAAATGGGGTACAATGAAAGCTGTATTCTATATGAAAGTTAATTGAGAGTGATTGGTGGTTATGCCAAATAAGAACCCATAGGTGTGAGATTTTTTTTTTAAGGGTGAAGAAAACATTCTAAAATTAATTATGGTATGCTTTTACAACTCTGCAAGTATACCAAAACCACTGAATCACATAATTTAAACAAGTGAACATGACAGTATGTAAATTATATCTCAACAAAGCTGTTAAAATAATTGAGGGGCAAAGAAAAACAGGTGACCATTAGCAGGTTTATAGTACCTACTACAAACTTGTGGCAATGAAAAGCTAAGCTAGAGTTCAGCAGTAGGAATAAATACTAGGAATACATGGAAAAAATAAATACAGCTGGAAGGTACTTTAGAAAATGAATGAGCTCAGAAACTTAGATTTAGAAGAGCCCATGAAATCCCTTTAATTAAACCCTGAAAGCTCATTTCTACTTGAACACTTCCAGGGTTAATGAACACATCACAATACAGTGTATTTCAATACTGTTAGATTTTCCTCATGTTGAATAAAATTTGTAACTCTGCAGATTTTCTAGTGCCTGTTCAACCCCAATCCACTGCTTACCAGTCTTTTATTCCATCCTTATTTGTACAAATGTAGTTTGCAATTATCTTTAAGAGGAGTGCCCAGCACTACCTCAATATATTTAATAGAACAGAACCACTCTCTTTACTAAAGATGATGTTAATCCAGAATTATGTAAAATGGCTCTAAATGTGAGTATAATCGGTGGGAGGGGGTGTCAGTAGAGAGAATGTAGTAATACACCAAGTTCAAACTTTGAACCTCAGGGCCAGGAATTTAGCTCAGTGGTGCCACCGTCTGCCTCGCAAGCAGAAGGTCCTGAGTTCAATCCCCAGT